CATTTTTCGTTGACAGTTATTTTTCTGATGTGTCTTTTTATCATAACTTTTCGTAAAAATTTTGACATTTACTTTTTTTGTTGTGTCTTTTTTATCGCAACTTTTCGTTAAAATATTGACGGTTATTTTTTCTCGGTTGTGTTTTTTATCGCAACTTTCCGTTAAAATATCGACGGTTATTTTTCTCGGTTATGTCTTTTTATCGTAACTATTCGTTAAAATATTGACGGTTACTTTTTGTGTTGACGGTTATTTTTCTGGTTGTGTTTTTATATTTTTTGGTTTTGACCCGCTAGAATTTTTCCTCTCTATATTATAATTTTTCGTTAGTTATTTTGTCACTTATAAATAATTTTATATTCACAAAAAATGTTTCAAAAGTGTTTTTTAATCATAATTTTTTTTTTTACATTTTTATTTATAAATTTTTTTTAATATCTTTAAAAAATATTTACGATATAACTTTAATTAATTTTATATAATAATTCAATTATTTGAATATATTATAATAATAATTTAATACATAAACGTAATAAAATATATTTGTTAAAAATGAGTTCCCCGCGATATCGCGGGGTTCATAACCTAGTGTAAAGAATAATAATGCCGAATCATGAATGGCTCGTGAATTCATTGACAATAAGAGACTGAAAATACTATAGACTATTTATTATATGTAGTCAAACCAAACAGCATCCAAAGAGGGATAAACAGTCACAAGTCACAACGTATACTTTTATAACATATGAATATTTAGAATAGAGGTTTGCTTTGTGATTAACTGATTAATTATTAGTGTCATTATAGTGTCGCCGTTATTCAAATTAGATAATATGAGTGTATATTTATATTTCAAAAATGTTTAATTTGATGTTTTCTATCAACACAAAATACCGGAAGTTTGGAGTGTTCAGTTCGGTTAAGTTAATCCAGCCCATAAACAAATCCATCAAGGCTCAAGCCATGTCCAGACCAGAACCGTTAAAATGGGTAAATTTCTAGTATAATTTTCCTTCAATACCTATACATGCACGTAAATCCAGTTCTGTCTCCATGCATATAAATATACATGTAGCCTTTTATGGCCAGATAAGGTAAATGTGTGCATTTGTTTGGTTATAAATATTAAATGTTGCATTTACTATAGTCTAGTAGGTTATTTAAAGCGACCAATCAGTAGCTGAATTCCTGTAAAAGTATTAAATACACCAAATTTTAACAGATGCCGTTATTAATTAACCATTTTGTGATTGGTACAACCACTTTGATATTCCAAATAAGGCTGAATTCTTTTATCCATGTTGTTGTGACGGTAGATTTTGTTTATGACGTTACAATTACAACTTTTCAAAATTTCTTATTTTTATTGTATCGAGTTTTTTGAAACCTATATAAAGAGAGTATAGCTTTTTACAAAGTTTATTACTATTCGTTAATTAATAAATGAAAGCCTAAACAAAAGATATTGGCCTCATGCCTCTCTAAAAACTAGATCTAGGGTTTGGCGGCTCCGTTTGGCTCCGGTGGCTTCTATAGCACCGGAGCTAAGCCTTTCTATTGCTTTTTTTTGCTGTTGTTTTCTGTTCTAGGGACATCGAAGTTGCTCTTCGTTTTCGTCGGTGGTTCCTCTCTTGTAGTAGAATCTGTGTGTGTTGGGGAAGAGGAAGACGTTTGGTGCGGTGGAAGTATTCAGCGGTGAGGCTTGGTCGTGGACAGAGGCGATTCTTACTTGTCTTGGTGAGATCGTCTAAGTTGTGGCCGAGATTGGGTGGTGGTTCTGGTGGTTGGTGGATGCGAGGAGGCTGACTCGTTTGGTTTCTTTGTCTGGTATATTTGCTCCTCCCGTCTTTCTCCTCTTTGGGATGTACTAGATCTAGGGCTGTGTTGCTAGTTTGTTTGTTTCCGGTTGAAGTATGATGGCTGGGATTAGAGGCTGTGACTTTTCAAAGGTTTAGCGGGTCAGTGTTATCTTCTCTTTCGACGGTTCGTGGTACGGAACAGGACGTGTCGACCGGGTTTTGATGTGTGCCTGCCGCTTTATCAATGTTTGTCTGGTAGTGTTTGGGATTTCCCATCATGTGATTGGTGGTTTGCTTTTACTCGTTTGTGTGCTAGGCTTGCAGTTTTCCTTTGTTCTTGTGAAGATTCTTTGGATTCTATCCGGTTCGATCTTTTACCTTTCTTTGGTCTTTTGAGAATGGTGTTATCCGGACTGAATCGTTGCTCCTTGTCTCTGCAACTCAGACCTGATCGAGGTTTGGTCTTTTCATAAAGCTTCTATCTAGGTTGTTTCTTGTCGCCTTGTCTACGACATCACCGCATCCGGAAGAAAGTTTGGGGAACTCTGAATAGTTCTATCTTGCCGGGTTATGAAGCTTAGGAATTCTGATTTATGAAGGCAGTGGTTTCATCTCAATAGGAGGACTTGTGTATCGTTGGTTGGCCGTGGGCATCTGCGATACTTTTCTTTCAAAGAATCTTCAAGAACTAGGTGACTTATAGTTTTGGTGTGCTTGTCCATTAGTTCGGGCTATTTGTTTTCTGCCCTTCATATGGGATTTCCACTACTATTACTTCTTTCCTGTTGCTTTGTAGTATGACTTATGACTTCCCTTACATAGGGCTTTAGACTCCGGGGAAATCTCGTCTTCCTCCGGCTTATGGTTGTATTTCATCAAGTATTTCACAATGGTTTATTAATAAAAATTCAGATGACAAAAAAAAAAAAAAGATATTGGCCTCATGAACACTCTTTTCTCTTTAACCCTTCTTCTATTATTTGCTCGAAATCACAGCAGAAACCATAACAAAAGCTGTTGTATTTTCGTATTTATATGCTTCTTAAAAACAAACTTTATTTCATCTTCGTTGTCTTACCAAGTGGGCATTACTTATACCTAAAGATAGAAGATGTCCAACTTCTATCATCTTATAGGCGACGTCCGTGCTCATAACCACTTTTCTAAGTCTTACTCATAAGTTATAACCACTTGTCCTACTTGAATTGATTGGTGTGATGATTAATTGACCATTAATAGAAGTACAATTAGGACAAAGTAATTATAGTTTTAATGAAATCTAATCCCTTAAATAATCATATACTCCTTCCCTTTCACTATTTAAAGTTTAATAATGTTACATGCATATTAATAAGTCAAATATTATTCTTAAAAACGACAAGCTGTCATTATAAGATAACTTTTTTTTTTCGACAAAGATTATAAGATAATACTAAGGGAATACTATACTTGGAGAACAAAATTAATGTATACAAAAAGTTAGCCGACCAAAAAATATGTATACATAAAAGCTCATGCATGTATGGATGAGCACAATGACACATTCTTATAACAACTAAACACTTCCCAACTTTCATAAACAAACAACTACTGAATAATCTTACAAAAACAATGGATTTACAAAATCTTTTTCTTGTGAGTGTAAATGTGTTGCACTCTTTCTCCCCACACACAGACCCAGTGGCCAGTGCTCTCTTGTAAGCTTTTTAGATACCTTTTGCGTTTTTTCTCAAGCCCCACTCTAAATATATATAATATATAATGTATAGTGGATTTGTTCGATTACAATTTAGATTTTACCACTTATTATTTTTTTTCAATTTTAAACCCGAGTTTTAGATACTAGGTGGAAAAAACGGTATTTTAATACTCGTTTGGGATGAAGTACGATGTATGTTTGGCAGCTCCATTTCTAACTGAAATAAACATTATTTTATTTTATGTAGGGACAAATTAAGAAAAAGGCTAAAAAAAGTTTAATTGGAAGAAATAGGCTAATATTTTGATATGAAAAGTTTTTTTTTCCTAGTCAATATACAATTTCTGATTCAAGGTTTAGAATTTATTTTGTGGGATTAGCTTTTAGGCTTTTGAGTTTAGTTTTTAAGGTCTTATTTGATTTTGGTATAAAACATACATATATATTTACTCAACACCAATATATTTTAATCAAGCTCAAAACGTTTATACTCAACTATTTATCGAAATTTTAATCGGTTCAATTCGATATATAATTTGAAAAACCAAAAAAACCAAATGTCCTGGACTCCTGGTCCATTGGAGCTTGAATAGGAAAGGAATATGAGTGATGAGCGTATGGTGCAATAATTTGTTTCGAAATTTATTTTCCAATGTATGTCCATCCAATTTTGAATTTAACTTTATTTCAATTTTTCATTTTTTCATTATGAAAACGAAACTTTGCAATCAGAACAGAAGTAAATTTATTAAACGATAAATAAAAGTCCCATCTAACTTGTCATTATTAAACTACAAATGAGCCCTAAACGTAATCCAAAAAAACAATAATTAGCTTATCAAGACACATTTATATAAAAAGCACATGCCCCTCACGGGATCAAAACATCCCAACTTACCAAAATTCGCTAAGTAATTATTACGGAGCCTACAAGGGCATTATAGTCATTCCACATTATCTGGTACGGTTATGTGAAACTTGACCAGAGCGATGAACCCGAGACCATTGCCGAGCTCTATTCTGCTCCATTGCCATCACCATGTGACGACCTTCTCTCTCTAAATTCTCTCTGTACTCTGAAAAAAATTGTTTCTTTTTTCTTATTACAGAAACAAAAAAAAACAGTTTTTTGGTTTCTTAATGATTTGTTATAACCTTGTTGGATTCAAACCAAACCCACACGAGAGAATGATGAGAAGTAGATCACCGATTTTGTTCCAAATGTTTTGATTAAACATTCAACGACTCTTTCTCTACATTTCTCCCAAATCTCTGTCTCTTGTGCTAAATCAAGCAATGTCGCTTGACATAAAGAGACCGAACATCAACAAGACGAAGAAGAAGACAGGTTTCGTCGTGAAAATGCAGCTTAATAACAACAACAACAACAACAGAGGAGGAAATAAAAGAAACATCTTTATCTTCTTCTTCTTCAGAAATTATTACACATGGATCCTCTGGTTTTTCCTCTCTCTTTATTTCTTCACATCTTACTTCTCCGTCGAAGACCAATCCTCAACATCGTCAATACGTCTCTTGTCTAACCACAAAACGTCGTCGTCTCTCCCATCTCGTGCTCTCATCGAATCTTCCGCCATTAAAACCACCTCCTTTGGTAAAAAAAAAAAAAAAACATCGATCTTTTATTTCTTCTCTGTTTCAAATCACTCATATTTCTCAAAAATCCTTTTTTTTCCTTCTAATTAAAGGTTTATTCAGCGGAATGAAGATATATGTTTACGATTTACCGGCGAGTTATAACGTTGATTGGGTCACGGCATCAGACCGGTGCGCCACTCATCTTTTTGCGGCGGAGGTAGCCATCCACCGTGCGCTTCTCTCCTCCGACGTCCGTACGTTAGACCCAGAAGAAGCTGATTTCTTCTTCGTCCCTGTCTACGTTTCTTGCAATTTCTCCACATCCAACGGCTTCCCTTCTCTAAGCCACGCTCGCTCTCTCCTCAGCTCCGCCGTCGATTTTCTCTCCGACCATTACCCGTTTTGGAATCGGACTCAAGGCTCTGACCATGTCTTTGTCGCTTCCCATGACTTTGGTGCGTGCTTTCACGCAATGGTAAGCTCCAAAGTCCTCCCATTTAAGTGCCTAAAGTTTGTTTCTTTTGGTCACAAGTAGATATTGATTTTTTATTTGTTTGTGTTTTGTGAAGGAGGATATGGCGATAGAAGAAGGGATTCCAGAATTTATGAAGAAATCGATTATTCTACAAACGTTTGGAGTTAAATATAAGCATCCATGTCAAGAAGTGGAACATGTTGTAATCCCGCCGTATATTCAGCCGGAGAGTGTTCAAAAAGCTATTGAAAAAGCTCCGGTGAACGGACGGCGAGACATTTGGGCGTTTTTCCGGGGAAAAATGGAAGTCAACCCTAAGAATATAAGCGGACGCTTTTACAGCAAGTGCGTTTGTGTAGCGAAAACCTTTCACATTTTTTTTCTTGTTGACTTTGACTTTTGTGGTTTTGGATTTCTCGTTTAATTTACTAAAATGCCATTTTTCTCCGGCGTGCAGGGGAGTGAGAACGGCGATTCTAAAGAAATACGGAGGGAGAAGGCGGTTTTATCTTAACCGGCACCGGTTTGCTGGATACCGATCAGAAATCGTGAGATCAGTGTTTTGTCTCTGTCCTCTAGGGTGGGCACCGTGGAGTCCTAGACTAGTGGAATCCGCCGTGTTAGGTTGTGTTCCCGTTGTTATCGCGGATGGGATTCAGTTACCGTTCTCGGAGACGGTACGGTGGCCGGAGATCTCACTTACGGTGGCGGAGAAAGACGTGAGGAGTCTACGAAAGATTTTGGAACACGTGGCGGCTACTAATTTGTCTGTGATTCAACGAAACTTACATGAACCGGTGTTTAAGCGGGCCCTCTTGTACAATGTGCCGATGAAAGAAGGAGACGCCACGTGGCATATTCTCGAGTCGTTGTGGAGGAAGCTCGATGATCGGTCGTACAGAAGGTCAAGGGTTTTAAGCCAGTGAGAAGTCGACACGTAAGATTCTGTGTCTGAATGGATGCTAGGCTGGAATTTTTCGGACTGTTTCGGAATTGGTAAACCGGGAATGTCTCACGTGGGGTCCACAACGTGAGGGGGATTAACTCGGGCACGTGAGATGTTTGCTGAGTTGGCGATTATTGAGTGGATTAACGTGCCCCAGGGAAGTGAAAGTGTAAAGTATTGCTGATGTGTAATTCTTTTGATGAGTAGGCATATAAATTCTTTTGAATATAAAGTTGATCGAAATGCAAAGTTAAATCAAATCTCAACTTCAGTTTAACATTCCAATAGTAACAAATTACTTTTTCCTATTCGAACTTACTTACTAACTACGACTTAGCTACAGAGATCAAACTCAAAAGCTCTAACAAGTAGATACACACTTTTTTTATCTTCACTTAAAACAAATTTTATTCAAAAATTCAAATCCAACTTAAATACAATAAGTAGATTTCAATTTGTTTAGTTCCTTCTAAGTTCTGACATAAGATCTAGTTAACTCAAATAATCGAAACTCAACACAGCTCGGATTGGATCTAAAATTTTAGTTGACCATCCTTAAATATAATTAGCCAATAAAATAAATAAGAATTAGTAAGATTTTATAATCGGAAAAGTAATGAATAAAGATAAAATAAAAAGGATGGTATTTGTATAGGGAAAGATGAAAGACAGAGCAATGAGAGCAAGAGACAGCTAGTGTGTCAGAAGAAGATGCATATATCAATAAATGTTAATAATCTTATTGTCTACTCCCTCCGTATTTTAATAATTGTCGTTTTAGAAATTTTATTTTTTTGAATTGGATGTCGTTTTCAAATTTCAATGCAAAATTTCTTACTTTTTAATGTTTTATGACATCATAAAACATTAAAAAGTAAGAAATTTTGCATTGAAATTTGAAAACGACATCCAATTCAAAAAAATAAAATTTCTAAAACGACAATTATTAAAATACGGAGGGAGTATTAAATTCTTATTTACACATATGTTTGCAGGCCCACATTACTTTCTTATCTTATGTCTTGTAGACATCACAAAAACAGTACACCAATCAAAAATTTATTTTACACAACTATCTATGTTTTTTTGCAATTTAGTTCCTTCATCTAACGAGTGTTGATATGTTGTGTTTTTATAGGTTTTGAGTCTTTGTTTTCTTTCCTAGATCATATATTTTAAAGAGTCAAAGTATGTTTTTAGAGTCTTTTAGTCCTTTATCGAGTCTCTACAGGTTTTAGGAAGCTATGCTGGAGTTGGAGGCTTTTAGTATCAAAAAGACGGGCATTAGGAGATGAAATGGGAATATGGTGATTCAAGATAAATCTGCTGGAAAATGGCATCAGGCAAATTTCATCAGGCAACTGCCTGATGCCCAGTTCTGGTTTTCCTTAACCAGTTTTATTTCCTATTTTCTGTAATTGGGTATAAAAACCCAGAGACCTAATTTTCTCAGACACGTTTTCTTTCTGCAATTTTTCTGAGACTTTTCTCTTGTAAGCAACCTTGGGATTCTAGAGATTCATCCTCTTTGACAATTTGGAGAAGATTTCTAAACCCTATTTCTTATTTTCATTGCAATTCAATTATGTCTTCTTCATCTATTTGTGTTGTTTTCTTTGCCATGAGTGAGTAGTTTCTCAATTGGGTTTTAGGGTTCTAATTAGGAGATTCAATGGATTAATGGATTGATTGTTATTAGGAGTTCTTATTCTCTAGGTTCTTTGATTCACATGTTCTTAATGCTAGAATAGGATTGATCACCCTGTTGTAGAGTCTAGGTTTTTCTATGCATCAAAAGTGTTCGATAGAATGCCTGAAAGAATGTGAATTGAGCAATGTATTTCTAGCCAACGAAAGTTGAAGTTAGGACGCATTGTGAACTAAATGAACTTGTTTGATAATGCGAATTTGACTAGGAAATTACATGCGAAAGTTTAGTAATCGAGTAGTCAAATTTAGTGATTAATGTCTTGAAAGAGAATTAGTCTAAGTTGTGTTCATGTTCAAGAACGGTTCGTAATTGTTGAATTCCTTGTCTCATGTTCCCATTGTTTATTGATCTCTGAAATACCCTAATGCCTAATGTCTTTAAATCTTGAAATTTAAATCATTTAATTTAATTGCATTTTTATTTTACAATTCGGAAAACTCAAACAAAACAACTTTTTAGTTTTAGCTAAGAACGAGTCTCGGAAATCCTTAGAGTATCTTTGGTCCTTGTGGATCGACCCCGTATATACTGCCTTGCGGTTAAGTGTATCGGGTAATTACTCGAGCAATCAAGTGTTAAAAAAAAAAAAAAAAAGTTCCTTCATCTAACGAATACTTAGATTAATCTAGGAGTATTATTTAATTTCAATTAGTAGACATCAAAAAACATTGCAACAATCAGAACAGTCTCTGACCCTTTGTGTTTGAGGCACTGCTTGCAAAATGTTCATATTGAACGCATAATGATTACGGAAATCAGTTTCGTTCTATTTTTTTTTAATACAAATTATGTTAAAAAAAATTTTGAAAAGAAAAGAAATACATGATCTTGTGACTGCATGAGCATTGTTTTCTTAACAATTTATTTAATAGTGACGTAACCCCACAAATAGAGAAAGTAACAAATATGTGTCGTACAGTTAGTTGTTTTGTTCTAAAATCGCAACCAAAACAATGACCATTAACATAATTTTGTTTATAACGAAAGTGACACAGTGTTTCATCTATAATGGTATGGTCATTGCCTCATTGGTCAAGTATCATCCCTGGCACTAAAGATTGGTTAAGAGGCGTTTGCTGGATCCTGGACCTATATCTAATTCCAAACAAAAATTCATATAAAAAGGCCTCCAATAAAATACTTTACTAAAAGACCCAGTCCTTTCTTGTTTTTGTTTATCCTAGGCTCTATATTATGTTGGGCCGACTATGACCATACTCCACTATCCTAGGGGCTCTTTTTTTTTGTTACTTGGGCTATTTTTAATGAAAATTTTCTTTTACTTTTTTTTTGTTCTGTATGTGTTATAAAAGTATATCAAGTCAACTGTGTTCCAAAAAATTCTGGTTCAATTAGTTTTATTCGATATAGTTTTTTGTTACAGTTTATCGGTTTGATTGTTTATGTTAGATTTTCAGGTTTGGTTTTCTTTCCAAACCAACACTTCCTTAAAAAAAAACATATAATTGCTTATTTTTAGTTTAATAGTTTTGGTCCGCGAGATGCATAAGCATACAAAAATATTCTTCTCCTAAAGTTTTAAGAACAGAGCAAGGTAAACAAAAAAGAGAAGTCTCGCAACAATGGAGAGAGTGATGAACATCATAAAGCCAAAGCCTGATCCCAAACAACTCTTGCGTGATTGGCAACGCAAATTACGTCAGGAGTGTCGTAACATCGAACGCCAAATCCGAGGTTCTTCTCTTTACACATCTTCTCTCGCCTTTTTTTGTTGGTCAATTTAGGGTTTTTGAAATCTAATTGAATTAGAAGATGTTAGTTTAGATTAATTGGATTGAATCAGATTTGGATCGGATGATTTTGATGGGTTTCCTTTATAAGTGGATTTAGATATTCCTGCTGATGTAAATTTCTCGATTTGATCATCTGGGTTTGGGTTTGAATCTATGGAATTTTGAAAGTTTTGGTTTTTTGTTCAGATATACAGAAAGAAGAGAGAAATGTACAAAAAGCTATTAAAGAAGCTGCAAAGAGGAATGATATGGTCTCTGCTAAGGTAAGAACCTAAAAAGTCTTTGTCTTTGTGGAATCTTTTGCTCTCTATTCTGATTTGAGTATTTGGTGTTCTTAGGCACTTGCTAAAGAAATTGTGAGTTCTAGAAGAACAGTGAACCGGTTATATGAAAATAAGGCGCAGATGAATTCGATATCAATGCATCTCGGGGAGAGTGTTGGTATGTATATAAATGAACCTTTCTTTCGTTTTCATCATTTGTTATACTATGTTTTGTGATGTGGTTTTCTTAAAGAAGTTTCATTGGAAATCTGCAGCGATTGCTCGAACAGTTGGGCATTTGTCGAAGAGTGCGGAGGTTATGAAGCTTGTTAATAATCTCATGAAGGCTCCACAAATGGCTGCAACAATGCAGGAATTTAGCAAAGAGATGACTAAGGTGAGTACCTTTAATGGATTCCTTCTCTCATTATTATTATTGATCATATATGCTTATCGAGATATAGAGAAAAAAAAATCACACCTTTAAGGATCATAAGTGTTCTCTGTTTGAAGATTCGGAGCTATGTTCACTGCTTTACATTTAGTATCTTTGTACATAATCATGAGTGTGTTCTTTGCTACTTTGATATGTGTAGGCCGGAGTTATTGAGGAGTTTGTGAATGAGGCCATTGACAATGCTCTAGATTCAGAGGATATGGAAGACGAGATCGATGAAGAGGTTGATAAAGTATTGACAGCAATTGCAGGAGAAACCGCTGCAGAGCTCCCTGAAGCTGTTAGGAAGGAAAGGATAAAGGTACCTGCACAGAAGGCGAGCACTTCGCGCGAGGTAAGATGATGGCATGATTGCAAGAACATGACAAATGCTTGACGCTTATTAACTTTTGCAAGATTAGATTCTGAAAGAAAAAGTTGGGTTTCTTGTTTTGCAGGAAGAGGCAATTGCAGAGGGTGTTGATGATGAGGAAGAATTGGAGGAAATTCGAGCTCGACTCGCTAAAGTTAGATCCTAACTGATTCGAATGACTCTTTTAAATGCTATTCTTGATTGATATGATCAACTTTTGATGAGAACAGAAGGCGATTGCAGTGTATTGTATAATATAAATGAAAATACCATGCTTCGAAATACATGTAAACATCATTTACCTATTGTTAACGAAGTTTTTTTCTTTTCTTTTCATGGCGATTTCATCCGAAACTCTTCCTCTTAACATATTCCAGTGTTGAAGTAAACCGAATTGTGATTCCGTACATGTTTTGGTGATAAATGATGAAATATAACTACTTAACTAGTGGCGAATGGCGATATAGTAAATTTATCACTTGGTTAAGGCAAGTCATAATCTGAATAATTAGATTGCGATTGTGTTTTTGTTTCCAATTCCAGATCATACTTGCATAACGAAAATTAAAACTATAGCAAAATTGACGTGGCAAGTTAAAATTATGGGATAATTTGGTGGTATAAAATGACAAAATATAAGGCCGATGAATCATTTCATTAAGTCCCTAACTACGGTTGATAGCGAAGGTGATAGGGACGATAATATT